ACACCAAAACTGTGTCAAGAGGGGCTGAAGAGCACCTAGAATTGGTGCAGTCGAGCGTGAACACAAAGATGCGGGGGTGCTTTGGGGACACTTCTGTCAGCTCGGAGTAACAAGCAACTTTCAGTCCGTTATTGAAGTCAAGGGTTAAACATCTAATCCATAAATTGGTGCTAGGAATTAAGGATGACTACTTGACATCTGAAATCACAGGGAGGCTTTTTCTGCGTAATAAAAAAGCCTCTTCAAATTATTTAAAGCATGCTTCTTTTGCATTTTAAAACCGGGAAGAAGCTGTGCAAGTCAGATGGGCCAATTTCTGCTCTTAGTTAGTAATAACTTAGTTCATGCAAATGACAGCAGGATTTTTCTCTTTTTCCTACCATGACTTTGAAAGGAGTTATATCCTGTTTTAGGTTGCAAAGAAAAAGCTTCCATTTGCCATTTACGTGGATCCTGCTCTTAATCCCCGTTGCAGAATCATGTCATTTGGTCATTTTGAAGCCTTGATTAAGTTAGCTTACAGACAAGCTCTAAGCAATAGGACTCAAGCATGTGCTTTAAAGCGTTGCTCAAGCACTGCCTCGAGACCCAAAGAGGTAGTGAATTCTGACGTAACTGTTGAAATTTTTGGTTGCTTCTACTTGTAGGACATAGGCCTGAAACCTAAATGGTAATTTGTTAGAACACCAGCGAGGAGGAAATGAATCTCTCCTTCATCTGGGTATCTGAAGGAGTTCTAAAAACTCCAGACAGGACAGAATTCCTATGGGAAAGTCCATGTTTGTAAAGCCGCCTCCTCTACTTGTGAAGCCCTTGGTCTGCCTGATGCCACATCACATTACATAGTAATGTAGGCTTTGCATTATATATTAATGCAGATTTGTCCTCAGATACCCTACTATGGAGAAGGCTGTTTTAAAATCTTTAATCGGGCATTAGAGCAATTTGCCTGTGATTTAGTTTTAAGTGGGCGAGGAGAGCGGTGACAAACGAAGCTGGGAGGCCCTAAAATTCTTTGAATATTCCATGTTTTCCTGGAACCGTTGGGAAAAGGCTGCCAGAAAGGTCTTGGCAGGTTTTCTAGGTGCCTGGCCAAGTCTGAAGCAAATGTGGATAGTTAATAGGCTAATGCAGTTCCTGTTCTAAGGCCGTACGTATATAACATACGTTTTTATTTAAGAAATCCTACCGCATGGAGGAGCAAATGTAGTGTTAATATTATCTTCCTGCAAGCAAATAGCAAGGGAAAAAACACTGTCAGCTTAGAAAGACAAAATAAGGGATCTTTTGCCCTTTACTTTTAGGGTCTTCAATTGTTATTTTAAGAAGAGAGGAGGTAGGAAATAAAATCAGTAGACGGGCAGTGGCTTTCCCGTAAGGGCCCCATATTCATCAGGAATGGCTTATGTAGCAATAGTTGGAGTCTAAGAAAAAGGCAGAAGTTGTTCAAAGGATGGATTTCCATTGCTAGATTGACTTTTTGTTGTTACCAGGCAAGTAATTAAAAATGGCAATTAAGCAGCAATGTGATCCAATAATGACCTGGGACCTGATGCTGCAGTTGGTTCCTTGTGGGCGGTCCCTTATAGCGGCTTGAAGCGTGAGGCCATTTATGTAGATGAGGGCGTAAGAATTAGGCATGGCTAATGACTCACGTCAGGTACAGGCGGGTTTGGGAGGATTTCTCTGTGGACCAGGGTCAGATTCATGGTTCTCCGCAGCCGCAGACAGCCAGGGAATAGGTGTTCAGTGGTGTGACTGGCGTGCGTTTGTCCTTGGAAACAGCCGTTGCAATTTCTCTCGTACGTCAGGTGACTTAGCTTTGTAATTTTAAAATCCTCTCCAGTGTTAGGGATTCTTGTTTGTATCAACTTGTGGGGCCTATCTTGTTTTGTTATTAGTGGGGAGAAGACGGTGCACAACCTCTACTGTTATAGCAGGACAGATTATTTTTTTGATTGAACCATTGGTGCAGACTCTGAAATTCTGCTGCAGACACACACCCCTGTGGGATGTCGGAGAAGTCGCTTGTTTTTCTTTGTTTTTATTCACTGCCTATGAAATAGAGGTCCTCTTTCCTCCGAAGGAGTATTTTGAAGACGGAAGTAATGATCATACAGATGCAGTCATGTTGCGTGGCATTTTGGAACTGCAAGTGAGCATGCTGTGTGTGAAGACTGTGTACATGAAGATATGTTTCCTCTGGACTAACTCTGTGCTGTCATACACATTCATTACATGTAAAGAGTTAAAAGGATGGTATTTATAATCTAATAATACTTTTATAAGAACAAAATCAACGTGAAAAGGATATCGTTATACTTCAAAAATTCAATTTAAAGAATGAAATTTATTATGATAATAAATTAATTCAAGCGATCTGATATTCAGATTGCTCTGTTTGTTTTCTTCATTTTCTATCCCATGGAAATGTTATGTTGTCGCTTGGTATTTTAAAAACAACTAAATTTAAGCCTAGGGTGTAGCAGAGCCTGCACTGCAACGTGAAGTGATGCAGAAGTGCAGGCTGGCACCGGGAACGAGGAGACTGGCTGCTGCGCTCGCGTCCCACTGCTGTTCCTGGCACGCAGAGCCTGAGCAGTGTCTGATGGACCAAATGCAAGTCCTTAAAGGTTGCCATGTCTTTCTCGCACGCTGACTGTCATGCTCTCTGTCGTGCGCCTTTTGATATGTGACTTTCTAATTTTTAAAAGACTCTAGACACCAGTGAAGTAAGTGAAAACAACTTACTGGATATTAAGATCTCTGTGACCAGTTTCACAAGTTGTAAGGGCAACTAGACTTGCGTTCAGACTTTCCCTATGTTGAAGTTCCCAAGCCTGTTATTTCTTTCAGAGCGATACCTAAATGGCTTGGCATTTTGTTTCACCCTGTGAGAAGAGAGTCCTCGTCCCCAGGAGTTTGCAGTCTAAATAGATAAAGCAGGCAGAAAGGAAAGCACAAAGAGATGAAGAGACTTGCCCAAGCCACTTGGCAAGTCACGTGGCAGAATGGGCAACAGCAACAGGTCCTTTGAATTTTAGCCACTGTCGTCCCCACCGATTTGGGATTCCTCTGGCCAGGTCTGTGCCAGCCTCTGCCTGTCGCTGGGCAGGGATCAGCAGTTTGGGCCCACCAGCCAGCATCAGACAATATTAGAGTGTTCTCTGTTTCAGTTTAATTCTTGGGCAATATTTGAGACAGGTATTTTTGTTGAGAGAAGTATATTCCCCTCTCCCCTCCCCTTCAGTTGGGGGCAGGAGGAGGGGGGCAACTGAAGGCTATATCCAGAGTACTAGAAAAACTGAAAAACTTTTTTTTTGGTCTTTTATCTTTTAAATAATTTCATCTTTTCTTTAAAAAGAAAGCTGGTGCTGGTGAAAAGGGTTTGAGAATCGGACAGGAGGTCTGCAGGATGTTTAAGGAGGGTTGAGCTTTGAGCCTCTTCAGATCCCTGTAATCTCTCAAGGCTCCTTACAAGCATTAACTTAGGCTCACAGTCACAACTCCTTCCCCACGTGCAATAGGTGTGTTACCTATATGTGTTGTTTCTATGGAAGGGACAACTGGGGTGGAAGCAGGCTGCAGGACTGAGGGTCCGTAGTGAATTCATGGGAGAGCTGGAAACAGATCTGGGGACTGCAGGCATCAGGCTCTGCCCTGCGCTCGCTAGCTTGCAGTCTCTCTTTACAGAGAGACCCAAGCACTTCTTGCCTATTAAAATGTAATTCGTTCTAGCTTGTGCTCTTAGTCACGTGATTTTCCAATTGAATTTTCTACTTTTCCTGCTAGGGCAGATTCCCCAAATGTATCGAAACTTTCTGGATGTTTCTGAAGTTGAATCGGCATTCTGCAGTTTAGATTCTAATCCTATAGCCTCAGCGTATGTTACTTTTACTGACTTTGGGGTGGGGGGGGAAGATGAGTTGATTGAAGGGCACCATCTTTTTCGTGCAACGATTCTATTGAAATTTCAAATAAATGAAAAGAAAAAGCATTGAATGTTGACCAGACAACGTTTCTATTGACTTCTAATGTGTCGGCCTTGTAGATGAAAATATTAATGTAGTTCTATCACTTAGTGCCTGAAATATTTCAAAATTTGTCAAGACTTTCAGTATGAAACCTCAGATCATGAGAAACGATGTCACAAGCTCAAAACAGGTTAGATTTATTTAAAATTGTAGTGCGGTTCTTGCAGCTTTGGTCATGTTTTGAGTGAATCGAGGTTGATTTGATATTTTTGCTGGACCTGAAATCATGTGAAATATGAGGGTTTTCAGGTGCTTGATGAGATGTGGAAATGGCAAATCATGCAGGAGTAGATATACTATATTTTTGCGTGACTTCATCCAGATGAATTTGAGTTTCACCTTGAGTTTCAGAGTTTGGTTAAATCCAGACAGTATGGGAGAACTCGCGGAGAAGGGCAGATTGTGAACTCCCCATAGACAGAATGCACATAACTCTAGGTACTGGATTCCTGCTTCTCGTACTGTCTCTTTGAAATTGGATGAATTCATCTCTGTAACCTTTCTTTTCAAATCCCTCTGCTACATCCACTGACCTTTGGTTGAACTCTTCCCATTTTCCCAACCTTGGTTTTGCATAAGGGCACTGGACTAGTGCGGAATCCCAAGCCCATTGCGGTATGAAGTGAGCAGAGCTGCCTCTTTTTGCTTTTTCGCTTGCTTTACTCACACCAGGATTGAATTGTTTTGTGGCTTTGTCACCCTGTTATGTTAAGTGTCCCCATTACCAGGGACTGATACAGCTCAACCTTAGCAGAACTGGAGGGAGGGAGAGGAAACACAACGATCTCTTTTGCATAGAAAAGCTGTCAGGATAGTGCTTGGGTTAGATGATTTGCCATCGTTAATGTGCGTTGTTGGGTTTGGAGGTGAGAGTTGGTGGGAAAGTAAGGTTAAAAGGAGCTGTCAGTGATGGAAAAGAACTTGCATGATCTTCAGCCACACTCCATCCTCTCTTTTGACTAACAGGGCATCAGAGGAGGATATTGAGAGTAATCTGGACATAGCAGCTTTCTTCCAAGGATCTCAAAACACTCTAAGGACATGGTAAGCATTGTTGTGACTGTTCTACGTGTGGGGACACAAGGTAGGAGGAGGTGACGGGATTTTATCACTGACTTGATGTGAAGTGAAATTGGACAATATGCAAGACGATGAGGTTCAAATTAGAAGCCTTTGGTTGTCAAACTACTCGTTTGCTGGATAGGGTTCAGTTCTGGTCGTGCCCAAATCACCACACACTTTCCCAACTTTCCTTTTCATAGATGTGCCACATGCTATGAATTGTGTACCTTTGTACCTTGCTCCTTTGTACATCATTGTTGAAGTTCTTCACTCATATTAGTAAACAGCTTTTTCTCCGCTACAGACGTTTTATTCATTTTTAAACTATTCTCATATATTTGCATATGCTCATATATGATGTCCCGGCAGCTCAGACAGGAGTACTGTTTTGAAGATCTCTCATAAATGATCTCTGTATGGTAAAATCACCACTTTTATTTTCTCTGCCACAGGAGGATGAAAGGCTTAAGTTGGTCCGTAGCGAGGTTACAGACTTGTCTCAAAAAGGCCTTGTGGTTTTATAGCTAATGCTTAAGTCCCTAAATCATCATCTCTGTCTGAGCATCCCTTCTCCTATGTTTCTTCTTCTTGGAACTGCTAATTCCAATTGGTCTCAGAAAAAGCAAGAATAGTTTGCCCTTACTCTGCTTTCTGCTATAACCATGCACCTACCAGGGTCTCTTTTTCCTTTGAACCTATGCCCCATGATTAAATTAATTCTTCCTTTCTGTTTTCCAGCTTTTCTCTGCAACCTTCCTCTCACTCCATTTCTATGAGAACTCTTCCTGCAAATTGGGTCCCTAAGAGGATTAGTGAAGGGGATACCAATTTATTTATACCCACCTCAGCGTGGCAGCAGACAGACATTGTAAGTTGCTGGATTATTAAATGGTTTGTAACATGTGAAAGAAGCTTCCTTCTTCTAGTGCAGTTCAGAGTGGACAGGTGTCTACATCACAGCCACTCTGAACTGACCCCCAGCTCCTGCATTTTTTTCTCTTCTTAACCTGTTCACGCTGGCAATACAAATGGACATGCTGAGGAGACTAAGTGGACTACAGAGATTCAGTCCCTTCAAGTGTGAGATAGACTGCTGTAGGGATACATTATTGCTATGTTGTAGATGCACATTATTGCTGTTCTCAGGGCAAAGATGCCTTTGGTCACCACGGAAAAGTTTTCAGGCATCTTTCCGTTGCACTTAGTACACTGGAAAAAAAAAAAAATACAGAATGAGGGAGAGAGATAAGAAGCCAGGAGAAAACCCTCAAGCTTTCTCTGCTTACACTTCCGATTCTGGATAGCTACAGTGCCAAGCGATATTGCCATTTCAGTCGTCTTCTACTGTGCCTGGCTTGAATGATCCCAAAGGAGCAAGCGGAGGTAAATATACGGCTATGATCAAAAGAGAGTAAAGCCTCTATTATTTGTGCCAGCCTACAGGCGCTTAGGTTTTGGAATCTGAGTCTTTGAAAAACAAGGTTACTTGGAGCTCTAGTAAATAAAGTGTCTGGATGTTAGTGGTGATTCATAAAAGCAATTAAAAAAGGAAAGTGCTTTGCCACTGAACGTAATGTTTTGGTTTGAAGACGTCCCTAAGTGTGTTTGTAATGCTGCAAGTAGTGGTCAGTGGATAGTGACCGCTGTGTTTAAGATTGCAGATCAATTTCTAGCATAACTCTTCTCTTCACATGGTTCTGACAATCTAAAGCATTCGTGTTTGTGTAGTTGAATCTTCCTTATTTAGTCTCAAAGTATTTCTCCTCCCTTCCCTCTTCTTACATTTGTGAAAAAAATCTACACAGGATCTAATCTTTTCCATGGGAGAAGTGTTGTGGTTTTTGAAACTTAAATATGGGAAATGGCAGATGCTTGAAATTGGTCAAATGGTTTGTTTTTTGCAGTGCTACCCTCTTGTATTATGGCCCTGACCTTCCACGAATAGAAAACATCTCATTTGTACAGCTTTCAAAGTGATTTGCAATAAGCAAGACTGAACTCTGTTAAAACATGATTAGAGTTATTGCTATACAAAGATCCCCAGCTTGGCCACGTTACCTAAGTGCAAAGTAGACTCCGAGGCACGTTCTGCAAGCTTCTCCCTACGTGGCTTTTCAAGTCGTCTCGACCAACCTGTTGGTTCATAGCGATGGCTATTAGGTTCTGCCACTGCTGTTCTAGAGCAGACGCTTCCTGTCTTACCGACTCATCCAAGTGGATGCCTCGGGTTTCTCTGGGGGCCTGCGCGTATTCCAAAGCTGGGTCTTCAATTTGCTTTGCCCCCACATCCTGCCCTTGATTAGACCAGACATATATGCTAAGGGAAGCAAAATAGTTTACTGATTTATCACGGATCATTAGATGGAGTAACTGTTCTTAAAACATCACCAGTATAGATACAATAATTAGAGATGTGCTTTTGTTAACATTGCCAGCCTCTACCCTCTTGTACAGTACCCTTGGGTACTAAATAATTACCCACTTTGTGTGGTTATCTAGCTCACTAATTACCCACAAAAATTGGGGTCAGGTGTTAACTGCTTGAAATAAGTATCCTCCAAAGACTTGGTTAAATTGTATGAAGAAATGATGTGTTTGCAGCAAAACTTTAAAAAATCAAACATTTTGGGGAAAGGAAGATAGGGGAACATGAAAAAAACAATGGATGTAAATCATTCTGTGTGGCGACAAAATCTTGCGCATCGCTGTGGTGCTGAGGGAATCTGTATGGGGAGTCAAAGGATGGATGGCAGATACAGACTCTAATCCAGTCTCCTTTTCCCAAAGATTAGATCCTTCAGTACATAGGGTTTGATTCTTCCCCTATCTAGGCTGATGCCAATCAGGATTATGCTGGTATAAATGAGAAAAATTGTATCCCTGGGTTCCTGGACTGACTTCATTGCATATTCCAACCTCCTCTGTTGCCCAGGAATTTCTGCATTGCACCCAGTAATTTAATTACGGATTGTGTATTTATTTCCATACGTTTATTTTTGTTATTTCAAACTCTGTATGCATGCAGCAGAATTTCGTTCTAAGGCTGCTGCTCATAAAAATGTAGCTTGCTTTGAGTAATAGTTTGATTCCTGTGTGCAGGGAGTTACCCCAGTGAGTCAAAGATTTCTAGATAGCCCCACCCTCCCCAACTTCCCGAACACTTACACTGCACTCGCTTTCTCTTTGCCAGACCCACACAAGACATCTAACTAGCCCAAATCCCAAGAGGCAGCTTCTGCTCCCTCCTGCATTTCAGCCCCAGAAAACTAGGAAATAAAGCCACAAAAGCCCTAAAACCAAAGCCCTTGAAACACCTGGCACGTGTAACAGAGGTATATTTAATAGACTGTCTTCCTAACCTGGTTTCTCGCATAGGTGCCATCTGTCTTCAATGCAAAGGAGAGTGATTTCAGTGAGAGCTAAGTAGGTGTTTTGAAAATCCCAGCACGCACCTATCAACATCTTTGGGTACCCAAATACCTTTAACACTGTAGTCCTAGAGCAGCTGTGCAATGTGCAGCCTAACAAAGAAACCACCTTATTTATTTATTTATTTGTGTTTGGTGTTAGGTGCTTTCTCTCCCGTGGAGTGAGTAGCACCTTCTGTTCCCCCAAGCGCCTTTTGCAGCCCCCGTAGAGCCAGGTCTCAGGCGTTACCGAGGAGCCCCCGCCCCATGGCTCCAACAAATGCGGAGTCTCAGGTAAGGCCCCACAGATGGCTCGGTGTGCAGTGTCTTCTGGGGCATACCTGTGCTCCGCATTGTGCAGTGCATCTCTGGAAAATGCAGGCATCAGCCCTTTTTCCCCCCCCCCCCCCGCTGATGTTAACTGTCTGTATTATTATTTATTGTTATCAAGGGATTTGGTTTGATCAATGAAGTGTATATGCGTCTGACGGACATTCGGAGAGGAAATGCTTGGAGAATGAGTAACATGTCTGCAGCGGAGGGTGTGTGAGAGGCAGAGAGAGGCAGCATCGGTACTAGAAACATTGACCGATGAGTTCATTTTAAAATCCAAGGGCATATAGCTGGTAAATTAGCACATATTGCAAATATAGTCTGGTGTGAGAGGCAGCAGTGCTGCCATTGAAGAGAGGGGTGGGTGCGGAGGGGTGGGGGGGTCGCGGCGGAGAGGTTGTCAGCTCTAAAGTCATCACGGGCATGAGCGAGGCAGGCTGCCTGCCTCGGTGCAGACGCGGGGCGTGC